GAACCAGCCTGTGATACAATCTCCGCGGAGGGCTGTCCCTTCGGGTAAACATTCACTGGGAAGATCCTGCTTTCAGCCATTCCTGCACCTCCCCTCGTGATCCGGTGGCCGACAGATCGCGTACACAGAGGGAGTGCCCCGCAGCTTGGAACGGAACTTGCCTGGCAGCTGACAGCGACCCCCAGAGGTGCCAGCGTCAGGTAGCCGCGGAGAGCCAGGGACCCGTCTCAGCAACGCGGTGCGCGCAACCCGCGCACCCCAGCGGCGCGAGAGACCGGCGCCATGCCAGCAGCTGGCACTCCGAGATCCCCACGCCCCACACTCATGGGCATAGAAGACCACTGGTTTCCACAGGCCCACTCCATCCTTAGTTCTAAGTGCTAACAAACTGCATCAGAGGGAACAGAGGCGAGGAAGATAAAGAGGAAATGAAGAGGGTGAGAGAAAAGAAGGCAAGAATGAGGGGAGAGAAAAAGTGAAGAGTGGCTCCCTTCACCCTAACCACGCAAACCAAGGAAAATCACAGCTGCCTTCTGTGGTTGAAGAGGAAGTGCTGAACCAAATACAAATGTAAGTGTGTGTATGTATAGACACCTTTGCTTGCAATATGGTCTCTGTCTTAGTTTGTTTCTTCATTGCTGTGACAAAACACTCTGACCAGTACCAACTTGGGGAGGAAAGGGTTTATTTGTCTTACAACTCCCAGGTCGCAGTTCATCAGGGAGCCCAAGGTAGGAACTCAGGGCAGGAACCTGGAAGCAGGAGCTGGAGCACAGGCCATGGAGGAACGCTGCTTACTGGCTTGCTCCCTTGGCCCCTGCTCAGCCTGCTTTCTTATGCAACACAGGCCCACCTGCCCAGGGGTGGCACCACCCACAGTGGGCTGGGCCCTCCCATATCATGCATCAAGAAGATGCCCTTCAGACTTGGCCACAGGCCAGTCCAATAGAGGAAATTCCCTGATTGAAGCTCCCTCAACCTAGGTGTGTCAAGTTGACACTAAAGCTGTCCAGCACAGTCTCTTATTGATGATTTGATTCTATGCAAGAAATTATAGGGTCATGAGTGAATCAAAGACAAATGAGAAGAATATGACCTTTTATTTAAAGTCTGGAGTCAATTAACTTAATGTGAAACAAATTTAAGTCTGCAGTCTCAAGAACAGATTAGACATGTTTTAAAATTGCCCTTAAAGAAGATTTTGAAGATCTTTAAAGCAATAAAGAGCAAAGCCAGGAGAATGGTTTTTAGCTATGATATAACGGGCCATCTGATGTAGCAATCATGGCCACATTGATTTGATTTTGAAATCTAATGGATTAAGTCATTGACTCTCTCTAAAAATAGATCACAGGGGGATGGCCAGATGATTCAGTGGGTAAAAGCACTTCCCTTGAAAGCCTGACCACCTAAGGTTGATCCCAGGAATGCACATTAAAAAAAAAAAAATCAGAGTGCAGTAGAGCACATCTACAAGCCCAGTACTCCTATGGTAAGGTAAATCTCTTGGAAGCTTGTCAGCCAGCTGGCCTTGAGTACACAGCATGGCAGCAACAAGGGAGACCCTGCCTCAAAAGTGAGGTGGAAGGAGAGGACCAGTTCCTTAAAGTTGTCCTCTGACCCCTACATGTGTGCCAACACACACACACACACACACACACACACACACACACACACACCCTAATGAAATAAATTTTTGAAAATCACAAAGGCCACATTAATTTAAAAAAAAAAAAACAGAAAACACAGGAGAAGGGAGACCATCAGAGACAGGAAGCTTGTTCATCCCAACTTTTACCAGAATGTTTCAAATCTGAAGTAATGAGCTGCAGGTAAGGCGTGCATTTCCTGTACAACCCAGACAACAGTTAGTGAGTACCACAGGCTTCTGTGGGAGATATGTGCTTAGTACCCATCACTCCCCCACTGAGGGAAGACAGGTGAGCAGCTGCTCCCGCTTGATGTCAAAGCCTATGCCATGTTCTGCATCCACTCCTGAGCAGAACTGAGGAACACATGGAGAACAGGGAGGACTGGAGACTGGAGCGCATGGTTCATCTGCCCCTCTCTGCCTGGCAGGGTGAGCCTCTCTTCCTCCACTTTGAACCGTAGATGGGAACCAACATAGCCTAATGGCAAACATTTGCCACAGGGACCAGACAGTGCCTGCTGGTGTTCCTCTAGCCCTGTCACTCAAGACTGTGAGCAATTTTTGTAATTTTCATGCTTCCAGTGAGCTCCAAAGCTAAGGAGAACTTAGAAGCATAATCCAAACCACTCCACCAAAAATATGCACAAGAAGATAAATTCTTACTGTTTCTTTTTTTTTTTAAACCCTCTGACTCCAATCACTTATAACATGGGTGATGGGTATCATCTTTCTGTTACTGAGTGAAGAGCTTGTTAGTCAGATTTCAGCTTCTTTTCTGAAATATTTATTTTATTTTTATGTGTATCAGTGTTTGCCTGTATGTGTGTGCCTGGCGCCTGGGGAGGCCAGAGAAGGCATCTGATAGTTTTGTCGGCTTACCCAGGAGAGTCGCTTGGACTTTTTATATTTTTTATAATTCGTGCTAGCAGAATGCATCTGGAGCTGTGACTGGTAGAAAGGAGGAAGAAGGAAACTTCTGAGATATTTTCAGCCACAGAATTATTTTGCTTTTGCTGAAAGGATGGGTGCTAAATGGGAGCAACATGATGTCAGTAGACTACACAGAAAATCAGTGTGGGAAATGCTTGCCCACTGGTTGCTCCCAGAGTTCCCAACTAAGTGATAATGGGAGGGAAGGGAACAAGGATGCCTAGAGAATGTTGACCCATCATAGACTCACTTTAAACATTTGGTGGAAGACAGCAAGAGGAATGATTTGGCTGCTCCAACCCCTTCTCCCTGTTTTCACCACTCACACTCTCACCTGCTCCATACGTAGGATCCCCTACGTTTGGACTCTGGTGGATATCTGAAATGGAAGCCCCAACTCAGGCCTCCCTCTCACTAGTTCCTCATTTATCAAGATTTACAGTCTTTAGTTTAAAACAGCAACGTAAACAGACTGCAACCTCTGCTCTAAACCTTCAGAAATAATATTCTGTACAAGGACAAAGTTATCAAACCAAACCACAGAAGCAGTTTGGTACAGAATCTAACTATAGCATGATTCACACAGAGATTCGCCTGTCTTGATGTCCCACAGGAAATGCCTCAGAAAACCCCCAACTCTGACAGTGCATGGGTTAGCCAATTTACTAGATCCTCTTTTAATATATTTTCATTCTTCCAGTTCTATTCCTCTAGGGAACCCTAACAGTCCCTGACTGGCAGCACTGTTCGGGAGGTTGTAGGACCTTTGGGACATGGGGCCTAGCTGGAGGAAGTAGATGTGGGGAGATGGTAGCAAGCCTTGAGGTTTATAACCCCATCTTGCTTCCTGTCTCATCTCTGCTGCCTGTCTTGCTGTCACAGACAAGCTGGTACGCCTGTTGTATCTTCCCCACCATGATGGATTTATGTTCCTTCAAACTGTCAGCCAAAACAAATCCTTCCTCCTGTAAGTTCTTTCCTTCAGGTATTTTATCACAGTGACAAGAAAATTAACCAATCCAGTCTTCTTGCCCATGGTAAGCCTCATTCTGTTCCTGGAGTCGTGTTTCTTTCCTGCCTGGAGCCCAGACTGAAGAGTCATCCCATCTTTTTTCTCTTCCCTTCCCCTACAACAAATGGCCAGACAGGGGAAGAAGAGTGGGAGACAGAGTGGAGGGGATAAGGAAGAACCAGGCAACATCCATCCACTCCTTTGTCCACCCAGTATGCACTGTAGACCTATTACCCTCTAGGGACCAGTGCCTCCTCCTCTCCACATCCACCTCTTCAGTGACTCTGACTAGGATAGGACAGTAGGCTAGAAACAAGTGGGAGAGGGCTTTGTGCTTTCATGTGTCTATAGCTTTGTGTGCTGGGTTCCCTTGCCTTGTAGTACCTGCTTCCTCCTCTTGTCTACTTGGAAGGTTTCTAAACTATACTCTGCCTCTACAGCTAATTTTATGGCCCAAGAACTTGAATACCAGAGAGAAGTGACAAGGTCTTGAAGGACAGGGGAATGTCATGTCCATATATAAACAAGCCAGGGGTTAGGTTTTTAATCTTTAGGCCACGCCACTCTTCCAGAAAGATTCCTTGAGTTTTCTCAGGAGGCGGTTCATCCTGGGAGACTGATGATGGGTGCTGCTGTGTTTTGCTCACTCACCTTGGCATATAGGGAAAGAATAGGAGTCTGGGCGGCAGGAGTCACACCGGGGACCCTCAACTCCAGGGCGGCACAGGCACCGTCCGTAGTGATCACATATTTCAGGGAGAACACCTTCCAAGTCACAGTCACACCCTGCAAAGGACAAGATATTTTCAGAGGGGCCCTCCAACCTCTATGAAAGATCTATGGCTTTCGAGCCTTCTCAATTCAGAAAATGACATTGTAAAGGAAACAGTGCAGTCATGCCTGTGTGCAACCAGAGTGTTCAAATCTTGGTGCAGACATGATCTCCTGAGTATGTAGGTCCCTCTGTGTGTGCCATTATTGGCTTCCACGGGAAACTACCATGGCTCTAGAATGTAGCCTACAGACCAGGATTTGCTTATGAGAATGAGTGTATGTTTAAGATCTAAATAGATGCCCCCCCTTTTGAAAGTAGCATCCTTGTGTGGGACACAGCCTTGGATGTGCCAGCTGCTATTGTTTGAAGCTTGAATATCTCCCCAAAGCCCACCCATGCCTTAAAGGCTTGGTCCCCAGCCTGGGGCACTATTGAGAACCTTTAAGGAGGTGGGGTCTAGTAGAAAGAAGTGAAGTCATTGGGGTGTAGCCTCAAACAGGATACTGCCCCCCCAGCCTGGTTTCCTGGATACCATGAGGTGAACAGGGCTCCCCAAACACACACCACCATCATGAGGCACTGTGCTGCCACAGGCTCAAAGACACAGGGCCAAATGGCCATGAATTTTCCTACTTATAAGCTGATTATGCAAAATATTTTTGCCCAGTAGCAGAAAGCCGACGAACACAACAATCTGACACATAACTTTACTTGTTTTTTAATATGTATGTATATACATATAGTTTTATGTTCACATATATTATTGATTGAGTCCCAAACCCCATCCCCCAAACCCCACTGGAACATAAGCTCCAGGAGTGCCGGGAATTTTGCTGTTTGTACTATTAAGTCTCTAGCAACCAGACTGGTGTTTTGTACATGATGGTAACTTACACAACACAGGATTATCAGGTAGGTGTAACACATGCTTTAGTTACTGCTCACCTCTCCTCCCCAAGATCGGTTCCTGATCATTTCTGCAGATCTCAACCCAGGGCCTTTGTTTCTAGCTGCAGAGCTCCCCAGGTTCACCCTGAGCAGGTCCCCCTAATGTCACTTAGAGGGAGCCAGCTGGGTGCTGTGGCAGGCCTGTGTGGCTAGTGTGCCTTGGCAGCGGCTCCCTTGATGCCTTACTCCCTTCCTGCTGTTTCTGGGGTCACCTCCCAAATATACTGCTTATATTCAGCATCTTTTGTGGGGAAGGGATGTCCTGTTTGTGAAGAACTCAATAGGTCAGTAGACACTGACTGCTATGGAAGGCTTTTTTAGCAAGTCAGCAACATATAACTCAAATCCTGTTCAGTTTCCTGAACTGGACAGTGCCATTTCAAAAGACATACTGGAACTGAGAATAACCCAGAGACATCTGCAAAGGCCTTACCATGCTCCGGGAAGGACTTGAACTTGGAACTGGCAGTGCGTTCAGGAAGTAGGAAGGAAAGAAAGCATAATATTTTTATTGACGTTAAACCAAAAGGGAGATAGATGACTTGCCTTTTATATTGCCGGCTACTGGGTCTTCTGGACTTGGAGTATAAACAGGAGAGATGGGAATTCCTACAAAATAATTTATTACAAAAGCACAGAAAATGGTTACAGAGATGGAAGCGTAAACCACAGAGTTCTGGTTGCACTGAATAGAAAGAAGGCCTCACTCCCTTGGGGAAAAGAAACCGGTAAAGACTAGTGTATGGAAAGGCCTGAGCACTCTGTGCCAAACATGCCTCATAATTGAAGTCAGACTGTTTTGCAGATTAGCAAACATAAATAGCTGAGTTCTATGCTCACAACAGCTAAATCACAACAGCTATGTCACAACAGCTATGTCACAACAGCTATGCCCAAACAGGGGCAGAGTTAGTTGTTTTTTTGTTATTTGTTTTGGTTTAGTTTTTTTTTTGTTTGTTTACATTATTGGTTTTGTTTTGGTTAGGTAAAATTAAGACTAGCTTTCTAAAATGATTTCTCTCAAGTTTTTCCTCCGAAAATTGTTTATTCTACAAATGATTCAAGTTTCTTCTTCCATTTTGTTTCCACCAAAAAAGGCAAAGACAAATTCTGTTCAGCTCTCATTCAATAGTCACGGCTTGAGGGAGGGAGGGAGGGAAGGGAGGTAAGGGCCTTCATAATTTATGCTCCTGTGCACCAGGAAAGGGAAAGCACATCTTCTCAGGCCCCAAAATATGACACACACTACAGGTATACAAAGAAATGCCTGGAAGCATGTAACATTTCTTCTAGGTCTGTTGAGTCTCACTCAAGGGTTATGATCAGGTTGAAATTGTCAATATTCAAGGGAGGGAGGGAAGGGAGGTAAGGGCCTTCATAATTTATGCTCCTGTGCACCAGGAAAGGGAAAGCACATCTTCTCAGGCCCCAAAATATGACACACACTACAGGTATACAAAGAAATGCCTGGAAGCATGTAACATTTCTTCTAGGTCTGTTGAGTCTCACTCAAGGGTTATGATCAGGTTGAAATTGTCAATATTCAAGCTCTTCGACCTACTAAAATGGCAATGTCTATGGTTCAATGTGAACACCTAGCTAAATATGACTCTAAATTTTGTATTAAGAACTCAGGGAAATGCTTTCATGTAAATGTGACCTACCTGGTTCTGTTTCTAACCCTCACACATCCTCCACCCCCCGACCATATCCTCCACTGCTAGTGCATAAAGGCCCACTATGGGTTAGGAAGAGTAGCCTCTCATTCTGCGCCTGATACTCACTCAAGCAAAATGGGAAATTATAGTATCCATCTGCACACTCTGCACAGTTGTCTCCTTGGAAATTCGGCTTACAGTGACATCGGCCTGAGCCCTGTTCACAGTCTTCTGCACGTTCAGGGTCACAGCTACAAGCTAAGAGAAATGATGGTTGCCAAGTGATCAGTCCTTCTCTGTACTTCATAAAGCAGACATGTCCCTACTTCTCAGCAAGACTGCAGGCTGGCTTGGTGGTCAACAGTTGTTCTTGAAAGGGCAGTCTGTTTCCCAATCCACACCTGACTGGGGGCTCTTGCTACCTGGCCCTCATGGGCCAGCAGAGAGCACAGTTCTCAAGGATGTTTTTTATGGGAATTGAGACTTGCCTGGCTCATTGAGCAAGAGGCAAAGCCTGCAGAGACAACGGTCAGGGGCTGTGTGAGGAGGTAGATGTGCTATAAGTTTTGGAAGTCTGCTGAGAACAGCCTTTCCCGGCCTCAACCCCAACTGGGAATGTCCACATATGACATATGACCATCATTACACAGTTGATGGCTACACAAATGTAGGATACATGGACACAGACATGTCGTCTGTCCACAGAAGGATCATACCATCACCTAACAGACTCCAGTGATACGGACCACTGAGGCAGTGTTTGCAGCCTAGCCCGATTGGAGTTTGCATATCAACCTTTCAAGATGAGTGGAGAATAGCATTTCGGGCTTCCCTTGACCTGGTAGGCTTTGATCCTGGATAGCAAGATTCTGTCATTGTTCTTCAAATCTCATTGGAAAACTAGGAGAACTGGTATCTATTGATATTATGATTTGTTTAAAAGCCATGTATCCTATGGATCTTTATGGTAAGCCTCTAATTCCCCTATGGACCACTTCAGTGATGAAGAAAAAATCCAGGAAAGCAGTATTTAAAAAGTAAGGCCCACGCAGGTACAATCACATTCATTACATCCTGTTTTCCTTTACTGATGCCTATGCTTTGTGGGCACAAGGCAAGAGACAGACAAGCTTTGCAAGATGATGAGAAGAGGGAAGGAAGGCAGAAATATTTTTTTAACAACTAAGAATATTCTAGAGAGAAGCAAATCACTTGGCATGTTCCCTGGAATATGCAAATGTCCTCAAATGTTCATGGTGTGTTGAATTCACTAGGGGAGGGGGCACAGAAACCAGCTTCAGGGCTGGAATTGTTTTCCAACTGTAACAACCATAATATGGAAAAGGCTATGGGTATGTGGTCCGTGATCCACGGGGCAAAGACAACTGTTCCCACCAGTCACAAAGTCTTTCTCAATAATCAGTCTGTTGAGGTACAATTATGCAAGACAGAAACAAACTATAGCCTGAATCTACCAACTGGAAGTTCTTTCATTCACGTGAAAACATTTACTGAGATCCCTTGGCTTCCTCCTATCTAGGAATGAGAAAAAAATTTCTATGTCCTAAGTTTGTTGTGGACAAATAAGATGTTCATGAAAGTACTCAATCCCTTGTATATAGTAAGGGCTCAGTTAATGGTAGCCTAACACTGTGATTGTTATTAAATCTTCCTTACTTGTGACTGTGCTGTTTAGTGCTAGTTCTGACAGAAACTACTGGAGATCAGAGACATATGTCAAACAATAGAAAATGGCAGGAGTAACATTTATTGCAGGCCAATATGTGACAGGGCTAACGACTTCCTAGATTTTTATGGCATTTCATTATATTTTATAAAATATATTATCATTATCATTTACATATGAGAAATCTGGGGCTCAGAGAGATTATGTAAGTACCTGAGGTAACACAGTTAGGAAGAATCAATAATGTGAAGGAGGGGAACAAAGCTCATCAACCAGTTCCCAAGTCTAATGACATCCTCAGAGCAGTACGCAGTCTAAGACACATGAATTTGACATGAGACTTACGAATGCAGCCATGGGGGGCATCGACTGGAACTCCATAAGGGCGATAATAACCCTTGGCACATTTTTCACAGTTCACACCAGCTGTGTTGTGCTAGGAAGAAGCAGAAGAATCTTAGCAGGGTGGATTCTGGAGAAGCCCAGCAATCTGTATTTTGTACTACCCTGTCATGGGACTCATTCTGTCACATACCACTGGAATTCCAAAAATCCCTAAAAGCATAATCGTTGATCTTGACCTTGGGTCTCTAAGGTGTGCACAGGACATTGACTTGATCTTGGCTCTGAAATCCCCCTCCCCTCCCCCACTGGAAGAGAAGTGAGAAAAAGTTCAACAAACTGGCAGCTGGGCTCTCTCCTCTACCAAAAAGTTTCCTTTAATGAAACACTTGACATTTGAGTAAGGAAAACAAAATAACCCCCAAGGACTAGTCCCTATAGCTTCTTTCAGAAGAACTGATGAATAATTACCACCTTCAGTTTAGCTCAGGGAGTATTTATATCTTTTCCACTTTGGGAAGGAATAGCATACACGGATCTCTCTTTCCAGTCATGCTAACTTTATCTGTGTTTTAGTCATGAAGCCATTCTCTAGACACTTTTATTATGTGAATGGAAAATGTTGGCATGAGGCTTATGCACAGAGCTTATTTCAAAGTAGAATCTAGAGTGACATTTTCTAGTTCATGGTTAATCCTTATAATTGCCACAAAATCAAATTACCCAGTATGCATCATCAGTTTCCGAGAAATACACACTATGGGTCTAGCTCAATTCTGTTTCTGACTTAGGAAGGATTTAGGAAGACATTGTTCTTTCATTAATGAGAGGAAAGGGAAAAGGGAATTAACAAGAATGAATACACTGCAACTCACACAAAGTCTACACAGAAACACAGGCAAGAACAAAGGCCCAGTCTGTGCCCTCTCCCCTGCATTAGAGGGTTTTATTAACTACAGACCCTTAGTGATTACCGCTCCTTGTCCTGTGGGCTAAAATCTGAATCCACTTTAGCAGTGAGGTCAAACATGCTGACCACCCCTCTGGCTTCACATTTGCATCATTAACGTTGTAGACAAATAAGAAACAGCTGTGGTCCACTGCTCTTCCCACCAAACCTGACTGACCCTCCACTCTTGCTTGCCACTGTGACTTCTGATGGAGGACTCCAGGCTAACTGTGGCTGACAATCCATTTTGAGTAGAAAATGAGAAACATTCTCTGAGGTGGGCAGCCTTTGCCCTCTACCCCAGATCATGCTTAAAGAGCCGGGAAAGACCAAGAGAGAGCAACACATTACAGATGAAATGGTGCCTGTAGCTTGCTTGAAATTTGGGGTTTATTTTTTTAGTAACTGCACAGTCTGAGGGCAAGTCATACCACTGTATCTATGGACACCAGGGTCCTGGCTGGACCAAGGATACAGTTGGCACCATAATTTTTCCACTGGAAGTCTGGAGGAATCAGTCCTGCTGTGAGAAGCATGTGTTGGAAGTTGTGTTTGCACAAGGCTGAACATCAAATGGGTGCCCCGGAGACACACGTTGAAGCCTGGCATGGGTACAGGGAGCATGTCTGAAGACAGAAAGCCTGCCTCCTGCCTACCTGCTGCTCCACCCAAAGAGACTGTGTGTGTGTGTGTGTGTGTGTGTGTGAGAGAGAGAGAGAGAGAGAGAGAGAGAGAGAGAGAGACAGAGACAGAGAGAGACAGAGACAGAAAGTATGTGTGTGTTTGAGAGAGAGAGAGTTCAGGCATGTGTATGGTTCAAGTGTGTGTGTGTGTGTGTGTGTGTGTGTGTGTGTGTTCAATTTCTCAGGAAGGCTGCCATTTTTGACACAGGGTCTCTCATTGGCTTGGAACTTACCAATTAGGCTAGGTTGCATGGCCAGCAGGCCCCAGGGATCCTCTACCCATGTCCACCTCCCCAGTGCTGGGATTTTAAGTGCATACCACCATGCCTGGCTTTAAAAAAATTTTTACATTTAAGTCCCCAGTGCTGGGATTTTAAGTGCATACCACCATGCCTGGCTTTAAAAAAAATTTTACATTTAAGTGCGGGTGTGTGTGTGTGTGTGTGTGTGTGTGTGTGTGTGTGTAGACATGTGCATGGCATGGCATGGCATGACATGGCATGTGAATGCAAGTCATAGAACAACTTGCAAGAGTTGGTTCTCTCTTTCCACTGTGGGCTCCAGGGACCAAACAAAGGTTTTCAGGCATGTGCTGCAATGTATGTTAACCCACTGAGCCCCCTCACTGGCTGGCACCTGGCTTTTTTACGGGGGAGGGTCTGTGAACTGAACCCAAGCTTGCACTTTCCTGACTGAACCATCTCCCCAGCCCCCAGAGAGACTTTCTAGGGAGTGGTCACCTAGAAGCCAGGCCCTGCTATGATTGGTCTTAAGTATGAATTCCTCCAAATAGAGCTTTCCAACAAACACTGAGGAGATGGTTCTCTTTACTAACCCCAAAGCCCCTCATGACCTAAACTTTGACGCCTTTCTGGAATTACCTACCCCAACTCACTCCTCTCTGGCTACACTGGGTTCCTTGCTCCTGTCTAAGGCCTTTTGCCCATCTGGGAACTGGAAAGCGAGAATGTACCTACTCACAGTGGCCACCTGGCTCATTCCCTCACTTCTTTGAGGTTTCTACTCAAATGCTACATCTCAGGAAACTGGCTACCTTACTTACACCACATCTCACACCATAACCCAACAGTTAAAGGGAGATGCAAGAAATGAATCAATAGCATGGGAGAACCGATATGTCTCTGATAACTGCTTGCTCTATGGGACAATAATCTGGCTCCCCATGTCATGGAGCTTGACTACCTGATACAGTTTGGACTCACCACCTCCAAATCCAAGGGTTGAAACATAACGGTCAGTGTGATAGTGTTAAGTGGTAGGGGCTTTGCAAGGTTATTAGGCCAAGATTCTCCTCCTTTGTGAGTGGGATTAAGGCCCTTGTAAAGACTTCATGCAACATTGCTCTTTCACTGTCCTGCATCCCACCATGTGCAAATGTAGCCTTCCTTTCTCCCAAAGGATGTAGCAATGAGTCCCTATTTTGGAAGCCAAAAGGCACCCTCACCAGACAACTGAACTGGTTGACATCTTATCTCATACTCTACAACCTCAAGAACCATGAGAAAATAAAAGTTTATTCTTTATGAGCTATCCAGTCTCAGGTATTTTGTTACAGCAGCAAAACCAGACTAAGACACTGTGAAGGTCTCCAGGGTCAACCTGCCTAGGTGTGCTCTGAGTTGATGGCAGGTAATTCATTTCTCCCCATAGGTACTGCACAGAAGTCATGGGATACAGCCCAGTTTCCCAGTTGCTACATTTCTGAGAGGCAGAATTTGCTCTAGGATATGTGTTCATACCTAAACTTGATCTTGAAGCATCACCAAGCTGACTGGCCCTGCAGCACCTAGTCTTCTCTCTTCCCTGTCAAGATTCCCATGTCCTTTCATACACGACTATTCATCCACTAATCATCTGATTTGTGTGTGTGCATTTTGGAGTAAGTCATAGATGCCAATCGCTTTCTGCCAAATTCATAAGCAAGCATTTAATTAACTGAAGTTCAAAATTTGTTTATGATTTTTGTTCTTTTGGCATAAAATATATACTTAATTTCTATCCCCAAATGAAGAACCGACTTCCCCAACACCGTTTATAAAATGTCCCTCTCTTCCACTGAATGGCACGGCATCTTAAGTCAAATGCTCATACTTCCATGAGTCAGCTGTGGCTGCTAGTTTCTGATGGGCTATAATCCCTGCATTGACTCCATACTCATTACAGATCCTCAATAGTTTTGATGTCTCCGAAGACCAGTTTCACCAAGTCCCTTAATTTCTAATTATCTAGTCTTGAGGGTTCTTCTGCTACTAAGAAGTCCAGAATCAGCTTGTCGATCTTCACACAAGTCCTATTGAGAGTCTGATTGTTATTGCATCTAATTTATAAATTGACTTCAGAGAAATAACATGTTTCTAGTGTTAAGTCTGAAGGCTCCACATGAGCCTTCTTTTAAAAATTTCAATATCGTTTTAGAAGTTTGATGACAGCTCCACAATCCATGCCTTCTCTTGCCTCTTGAAACATGTTTAAATCATTCTGGCATTCACAGCTGTATGCCCTGTCAATTGTGTGTATTTGTGTTTGCCCTCTAACTTGGATCTTTTGAAATTCCTGGTCTGTTCACACGACACACTTTTCTGATTTTCATCTCATAATGGGTTCTGGAAAGATGGCATATTTTACTTCTTCAATATCTTTTCTGTTGTGTTGTAGGACTTGTGGCAGAACAGAACAGAATCATGTGTATTCCATCTGCTACTGGCTCCCATCTCTTAGTTTTATGAGGTGCATATATGAAATAGAGGCAGTTTGGGAACAAGGAGACGAATACACCAAGCATACAAACAACTAGGCAGCAAGCTTAAGACTTAGATAGAAAGTCTGTCTTGCAGGGGAGACTGGAATTCATTTTGGCTAACAGAATACACTCAAGCATCTGGGTAATCTTCAGTTTTAGTATATACAGCAAAAAAATAAACCCAAGAAGGAACTGATGGAAAAAATCATTACACTGAAGCCTCCTTTCACTGATCTCCCCCACTGATGTTTTGCTATGGCAAATTTCCAATTTCCCAGTAAACAGTTATACAAGTCCCATCTACAGATGACAACGAGCAATCTATTCCATTTGATTGACCTCATAATCATTCACCTACTTCTTTGACTATTCATCCACTAATCTTCTGATTTGTGTGTGTGTGTGTGCATTTTGGAGTAAGTCATAGATGCCAATTGCTTTCCGCCAAATTCATAAGCGTGGATTTAATTAACTGAAGTTCAAAATTTGTTTATCATTTTTGTTCTTTTGGCATAAAATATATATACAATACATACAAGACTCTTAGTTGTGTGTTCGCCAAGTTAGATACATACAAATAAGAAACTCAATTTCTTATCTAGGTACTGAGCAACACATCACCCCAGAAAGTCCCCATGTTCCTTCACAGTCAGCCCCACCACCTCCTCCTTAGAGCCAAGCACACGTTTCTGATTTTTTTCCTCTACTGATTCATCTTGTGTCTCAGAATTTCATTTCGATGGCTGTCACACACCAGGAACTCTTCTGTGTAAGCTCATTTCCACTTGCCATAGTGGTCTTGAGATTCTTATGTGTTGCTGCCTACATCATCGGTTTGGCGTTCCCTATTGTCCCTTCATATCCTGCTGCACAAACATGCCAGAATTTCTCATCTGTTCTATGACTGATGAGGACCTAGGCTGTTTCCATTTTGAGGCTGTTTGCATACATCTGCTCTAAATTACCCATAAACAAACACCCTTGTTTCTTGTAGATAAATTCTTTAGAGTAGGACTTGTCTTATAGTATGTTGGTGTATATTTCATTTTGTTTTATAAATTGTCAGATCTTCCCCTGAAGCAGTGGTATACCATTTTTCATTTACACCAACAATGCATGATGGGTACAGTTGCTCCAGATGCTCACCAAAATTTAGTGTTGCTAGCCTTTTTTTTTTTTTTTGGCAAGTGTATTTTTATATGTATGAGTGTTTTGCCTGTGTGTGTGTGTGTGTGTACCGCATGTGCATGCCTGGTGCCCATGGAGGTCAGAAGAGGGCATCGGACACCCCAGAATTGTAGTTATCTCTCCAGCCCCAGCTAGCCTTTTTAGTAACTGCCATGGGAGTGAGCATGTGACAGGAGACTGGTGTAATTTTGATTTGTACTTCTCTCATGACTGAGAATGTTCTGCCTTTTACTGTTAGCTTATACCTGCCTTTGAAAGAGGTTGCTTAAATAGTTTGCATACTTGGGGGATTACCATATAACCGGAGTTTATAAACTCTTTATAAGCCGTGGTTACTGACCATTGGACAGACTTGGGTTTTGTGAATATTTTCCGCCTGTCTGTAGCTTGTCCATTTATTTTCCTAAGTGCAGAAGTTTTAAATTTTAATGAAATGTAAGTTATCTTTCATGCTTACTGCTTTCTGTGACATAAGGAGACTTTGCTCATCTTCTGAATCACAAAGGTATATGTCTATATTTTTCTCCAAAACTTGACAGTTTTAGTTTAACTTTACATCCATGTTTCATACCAAATTAATTTTATATGATTTGAGAAGGGATCAAGGCTTATGTTTTCCATATAAAATCTAGTTATTCCAGAACCATTTGTTGAAAGGTCTTATTCTGTCCCTGTTGGATTGCTTTTCTGCTTCTACCAAGCTCCAACTGTTCACAGATATGAGTCTGTCTCTGAGCTCCCTAGTCTATTACACTGAAAAATTAGCCCACAGTTATGGCAGTTTTACACTGGTTTTTATCAACACAGGTCTACTATGGCTTTGAAACAAAATAATACAAATCCTCCAGATTTTTGTTCTTTTGTTTTATGTACATTTATTTATTTTTAAAGAATTTATTTTAAGCCAGGTGTGGTGGCGCATGCCTTTAATCCCACAGCACTTGGGAGGCAGAGGCAGGTGGATCTCTGTGAGTTCAAGGCCAGCCTGGCCTAAACAGTGAGTTCCAGGACAGCTGGGGCTACAGGGAGACCCTGTCTCAAAGTGACCCCCCAAAAAAACCATTTTGGGAGTTGGAGAGATGACTCAGCAGTTAAGAGCACTGGCTGCTCTTGCAGAGGACCAGGGTTCAATTCCCAGTACCCACCTGGTGGCTAACAACCATTCACAACTCCAGTTTCAGGCGATCAAGACTCTCTTCTTCCTTCCGCAGACATTGCATGACATGAATGTGCTTATATACATGCAGGCAATACACTCATAAACATAAAAATAATAAATAAAATATTGTTTTAATTTTCTTTTTTATTTATGTATGTGTATATGTGCATGTGGATGCCTGCAGAAGGCAGAGAGGGTGTTAGATCCTCTGGAGTTAGAGTTATAGGCGGTTGAGAGCTGTCCAATGTGGGTACTGGGAAATGAACTTGGGTCCTCTGCAACAGCAGCAAGTGCTCTTAACCACTGAGCTATTTCTCCAGCCCCTACATTTATTTTTAAAGGATACAAAAAGCATAAAAATTGTATGTGTTTATGGAGTACCATTCAAAGTTTTGATACATGGATGTACTGTAATATTTTATCATGATCATCATGTCTATCTTTTAAAACATTTTTCATCACATTATAGTGATAAAAACCTCTAGATTTATGAAGATGATTTTGGATATTTCTGGTTATATATCCATAAAATCTTCAGAATCCATTTGCCAATTTCTCCTCCAAACCCTACACATTAAATCTTTGGATCAGTTTGAGGGCAGTGGAAATCTCAACAATGCTGAGTCTTTCTACCCTGAAGCATATTATCCTTTTTGTCTTATTTAGTCCTTCCTAAATCTCTCTCAGCAGTGCTTTCAAGCTTTAGTCTTGCACGCTTTTGTTACATTTATTCTAATTATTTTATATTTTTGATATTTTTATGCATGTGTGTAAATATGTGTGCGTGTGCACGTTTGTGTGTTTGTGGGTGTTGATGGGGAATCGTGCAGGTGCAGGTGTGTACACAGAGGCTAGAGGTAACAACCTCAGGTGTCATCCTCAGAATGCTCCTCCACGTCCTTTGAGATAGGTTCTGTCATTACACTAACCTCGCTGGCAACAAGCCCCAGGGATCTGTGCCCACCTCCCAATACTGAGATCATAGGTGTGTGACACCATGCCCCACACCTTCACATGGGTTCTGAGGATTCAGTTCAGGTCCTTGTGCAAGCACTTTACCAACTGAGTCATCTTATCAATGCTATTTTTGAGACTTTTTAATTGAATTTTATTTCATTTCTTTACTGTTTGCTATTAGTAAATCAAAATGCAATGCATTTTAATTTTATCTTTGTGTCTCGCAATCTTACTAAATCTACTCATTCGTTCTAATATTTGTTTTGTACATGCTTTAGAATGTTTTACACAAATAATCATGCCATCTGAAAAGAGATAGTCTTACTTCTTTCATTTCTTTTCCCTTGCTTTATCACATGCTTGAGAATTCTATGTCACTGTTGAACAGAACTAATACCATTCTGACCTTATTCCCAACATTTAGAAGAGTTTATTTTTTATTTTATTGATATGAGGTTAGTTGTAGAAATCCACTTCTAGTCTGCTGGGAATCCCAGTAAGCCCGGGTGTGATACATAGGTGCAGACAGTGCTGCACACCTCGGGTCTGTGGCAGACATCATTAGCTGATCATGATGCACCTCCTTGTTGCTTCTAGATTCAGAATCTGTCTGAAAATGAGAGTTAAGACCAATACCAAGGTTCATACCTTTTGCTTTTCTAAATACAGCCTTTCTAGCACAAGATATGTAGAGCACTCAAGGATGGCATCCAGGTATTCTATTTAGGCAAATTCCAAAATGAAGGACCTAATCAGAGGAGTCTGAACAAATACACCATAGTCTTTTCCCCACAACCCCTAAAACACATCCAGGTAAAAGGCTTTTGGAGAACAGGTCTTAGGACATACTTCCAATTCCTTATCATTGTCTCCCCAGCATTTTGAAGCAGGGCTTACTGAATGCTCATTCCCTGAATGACACATCCACTCTGGTTTAAGCAGTTTCTCACCTGGCAATTGATGCAGACTCCACCACCTATGTAGATGCCTTTGATGTTCAAGCTTGCCTGTTGCTGCTCAACATCTGGATCATAGTAACAGTCAGTGGCGTGCCCATGGCAGTTGCAGGCTGAAAAAAAAGCACTCTAGATAAATGTTCCATTATCACTATGGGACATTTAATAAATTCCCCAGACAGGATATTGCTCAAGGACCTCTAATAAAGTCTATTCTGGAACACCAGGGACATTGTAGAGAATTTCAGTGATTTTTACACAAAGACATTATGTATTTTTTTTTTGTCTTTTTTTTTGGAGACATGTATTTTATGGTTCCTTCTATTTGATATTAAATGAAATGTCTCTCCTTTTTTCCAAAAAAAAGGTAA